CAAAGTCACTCAAATCACCATACTGATGCTCGGTTTGAACTGCAGGAGATTGTCTTGACCATGTCTACATGCCTAAATGCACTGAGTTGCCGCCATTTGATTGGCTGCTTAGAAATTAAGTGTTAACGAGCAGTTGGACAGGTGTACCTAATAAAGTGGCCGGTGAGTATATAGTGCCTAGTATATTGACTATGCAATGTGATGTGCCTATTTTTTTATGATAAGCTAAGCTGATGCTATGGAACAGGAAGTGTGTGACAAAGTGATGAATTTATATTTATTTTAAAAGTCTTAAGCCCCCGTGAAAATGAAAACATCATTTTTTTTTCTATACTGTACTAGAGAGTATACTGTACTCTATACTAGAGAGTACCAATATGGCGGCCGGTGGCTTCAATGGAACCCCGTACTGCCAACTGGCAATCAGCCCTCCAGTGAATAAATAGAGATCAGTGGGCCATTGTGCGCCCTTTACTAAAAAATATTAGTAATTGTACACCCTGTTTTTGGGATGTGCGTTTTTGGTACGCCCTGATTTTCCTCTGGAAGCTTCCCTCAAATGTCCAAAATTTGTTGATCCGCATGAAGCGCTTCACAAGCAGCAGCTGCTCGAGTTGGAAAAATTGAACTTTTGCTGCTCGACACGCCGCATTAACCAGTCAGAGAAGCTGATCTGGGAGCTGGCAGGGAGTCAGACACAGCGCTGCTGATTCAGAGCGCTATGATCACTCCTCTGAAACGGTTTATTAATGCCTAAATTAACTTAAAATGTTGAAACCGACCGACAAAATATGTTCGCTTTTATTATCCTGGTGCCTGCAGTTTGTACCACATACCTGAAAAACACTAATATCTACTTCCAGCCGCTCTGAACAGTAGGAGAAAACCCCCAGGAGGCAACATGGCCTGAGGCAGCTGCTGCTGGGGACTCCCAGTGACAGCGCACCGCCGGTATGTCGGGGTCTGAGCGGCTCCCACAGAGAAATAATATTTGAAGGCAGGATGGTAATCTGGATGAACTGACTAAACAGATGATGTTTTCAGGAGGTCTTTTTCATTTAAAAATATATTCAAACATCTTTTTACCCACCGATCACAGCAAATATAGCAGAGTCTCTGCCATTGAACACAGGAGCAGCAGAAGCATCAGATGCTTCTGGACACACTTTACTGGACGTCTGACCTTAATGTGAACAAGCATCAGAAATGAAGCAGCAGATGCTTCTTCACTGCTCAAATTGCGATGTGAATGTAGCATCACATTTTCTGATTGTTTTAATTAACCTAAGAAACATAATATTGTAGCTCAAAATGATCTCATCTCTTCCTTATGAAATTTCCACCACTAGTCAAGTGCACATAAGTAGGGTTGGAACAAAGTCTCAAAATGCTGGAAATTGCATTTCAGAGTCTACATTTCAACACTTTCAAAGGGGGGATACCCCAGGACCTCCCTATATTGCTGTGGCGCGAGCCGTGCAGCTACGCACCTGCAAAGACTAAATGTTTGGTGCACCAAGGTGTACACCCTATTAAATATTCCTAGATACAGCCATTCAAATTTTCCCCACTTTCCTTGATGGGCCCTTTGAATGGTTCTTGGCTGGTCCTTGGCTTGTCCCCTACAATTCTTTTTTAAACATCAATCTTTGTACAAAAATATTCTTTCTGTCATGATTTGTGGACATTTAGATCTAAAGAGAAGCATTATCTCCTGATCAGAGCCTGTAATTCGGTGAAAGGGTGGAGTCAGGGTAAAAAAAATATGCAAGAGGGGGTGACTCCAGTGGCTGGAAGTTGGAGGGGAGTCTGCTGCCTGGGAAGGGCAGTTTTGAATTGCTATTACTGTAAAAGCCTAATATGGAGTATGGAGTAGCCATGTCTCAGTGGTATACATAATACTGCATTCCTGATATTTCTTGCAAAGGACTGAGATTCACTGTCTCACATTGTCCATTATGACTGAGTAGAAGAGAGGGCTTGGGTTTCCTCTTTCTTTCTCTTCTCCTTTCTCTTTCTCTCATCCTCAGCACCTCCTAGTCAACTCAGCTTGAACATGCAGTAGTAGCTAAAGTTTTATCTCAGCTTTTTAGATACTTGTCTGGTAAGTTTGGCAAAAATAACTTGCAAAAGTTTTTATGGTTACATATCACCACAAATGCCCAAAATAGAAAGATATCAGCAAAAATCATTTCAGCTGTCCAACAGTACAGGTAAAAAAAAAAACAAATCAGAAAAATAAACTTAGTGCCACAGAGAAATAAAAGTTCTTTTAAAATTAATATCACAGTCAAACCTGCCGAACTACTGCATCCCCCTTGTGCAGGTAAATTCTGGTAAGTATGGATAATCGTAATCATTATAATATTATATTAATATTATTATAATATCTCAAAATAATAATGAAAACATTTGTCCTAGCTTT